AGAAGTCGTATATAGTTAGAAACACATTTTATATTCGATCGATTAATTTTGGTCTTAAAAAACTTAATAATTTATATGACATTGACCATTATGACTGACTATTTAAAAATGTCTACGGTTAGAACACAGGCTTCAATAGGTACTATAATATAAAAATGCTCCTACAGTTAGTTCTATTTCTTAGTCCACTCTATAGACTATAGTAGCAATTAGCAACAGTAGGTACCCACTAGAACTTAGAAGTCTTTAGATCACTAAACAGTCGTCACTCAGCACTCGTAGGTCGTTTGTCATACAATATGATCTAAGTTGCAGAAGAGTGTTTGAAAAACCGCCATTTATCGCTACCATCTTTTATCATTATCGTAGCATACTTCAGACTTATATGTTATCATTAATTACGTTTCTATTTTATTGCTGATAAACACTTCAATAAAACACGTGTGGTACTAAACAGACTGACTAGTGACTGAGCCGCTGAGGTAATACGCGATAATAGTATTATACTCATAAATTCATAACGCATAAGCATTAGTATACTTGTCTGTCAGCATGCTCATAAATCATAATAAATAACAGTATCGCATATTTTTAATTTATCTAATATACCTATTTTCAATTTTGTTAGGTACCTAATTTGGACATAAGTTTTGTTTTGTTTCCTTAAAATGGCTGTTATTCAAAGAGTTGTGTATGTATTTGAACAAATAATTAATTTTCATTGTTTTTAATCGAAATCATATTTTCATAGGAAACCGAGGACAAAACGAGGTAAAAGAATTTTGCTTAAAAAAGAACCTAAGATTATAGAGAACACCAAACATTGCGTGTTTATTCCTGGCCGTAAATCATCTTTATTAGTCAGTAGCTGCATGAAAGATTTGGTAAGTTTGAATCAAATAATGTTAAATGGTTTGATTTATAAGTAATTTTAAATAGCTGAAACTCAAAAAGCCAGATGCAGTCATGTTAACCCACAAAAACGATATTCTACCATTTGACGATGCCGTGCAAATTGAAAAATTATTGCAGAAGCATGATTCATCCTTATTTTTTTTCTCATCACACAATAAGAAAAGACCAAACAATTTGGTACTTGGTAAGTAATGAGTGACATAATATAAAAAATGTCACAGCATTTAAACATAAATAATATGTAATCTAAATTATTAATTGCATACTTGTATTTAGTATGTAACAATAAGGCATTGGGTGTAGACGTGCAGTAAACACATCCTATGATAAATGTCTTATTTTATTTGATAATTAAATATTAAGTTACATTTTATAAGTATGTTTATCACTAGCATGCCTTGTATTGAAAATTACTCATAGATGTTTGAAATTGTAACAATATTTTGAATTTTCTACTTCGAGTATTACTTTTTAAACAATTGCATCATTATTTGTTTTACAGGCCGTACTTATGACCAACACATATTAGATATGTTTGAATTAGGTATCGAATCATACAAAGGATGTAGTGAATTTAAAGGTTTATCTGAAATCTCAGCTGGTGTAAAACCAGTTTTGGTTTTCTTAGGTGAACAATTTGACAGTGATCAACAACTTAAACGTGTACGCAATTTATTCATTGATATGTTCCAAAGACAGCCACTCAAACAGATAAGACCAAATGGTATTGAACATGTCATGTCTTTCACAGCAGTTGATAGTAAAATACTATTACGTTCTTATAGGTAGTTTTGATACAATTTTCTATTAATAGCGTGAAATACTTATGTTTTTTTTTATTATTATTTTTTATTAGGACAGTTTTGTCAAAAACCAGTTTAAAAACCCCACGTGTTGAGCTCCATGAAGTTGGTCCATCTGTTGATTTTGTAGTCAGGAGAGATCGTATGGCTAGTGCTGATCTATTCAAAACTGCATGCAAAAGACCTAATATTAAGGTATACATTTTAGGAATTACACAAATGTATAGTTTTTATACAACTTAAATTTATATTTTTATGTTTAGGGTAAAAAAATCAAGAGTGTACGTCGTGACAATTTCGGATCCAAACTGGGTCGTCTGCATATGACGAAACAGGATGTGAACACATTGCAGACAAGGAAGATGAAGGGTTTGAAGAAAACTTATGCGGAAAGGAAAATGAAGAGGAAGAGCGATGAAGTTAAAAATGGACCAGCAGTTAAAAAACCTAAAGTTGCAACTCAAAGTAAAAAATTGAAGAAATTTAGTAAAAAAGGAAGGAAATTGAGAGGTGGACAAGTTTAACAATTTTTTTTAAATTTTTATAATTAATTTATAATAATAAGAAATAAAATTTATAAAAATTCATTGTTATTAAAATTTAAAAAAAAATATGTTTAACACTACTTTTCTGTGCATATTAACATTGGTATGATAACGCACATATTTTGTAGTTTGATGAGCATAAGAATAATATGTATGGCAAAATTATCTGTTTAACATATAACTTTAAGAGGAACAGTCATGTTGCGTATAGTTTTCACTGCAATTAATTTTGAACATTCTGTGGATACAGCCATCCAACTATACTTTCCGATAGGAAATACTTCTTCCAATGTCTTTTGGAAAGTGACCAATAATGATAAACATAAACCATCATTGGAGCCTTCTGGTTGGCCACAATGTTCAATGCTCAATACTCCGTGAGGTTTATGCAGAGCTACATCAGCACCAAATATTTCCTAAAAATGTAATAATAATTATAATAATTCCTCTTATAGTAAAACATGTGCAATTACAGTCATAAACTTGCGTAATGTCGAATGCAAGTTCCGATTGTGATTGATTTCACACATCGGGAAGTGGGCTTGAGTTTTTTCTGACATAAGCACATATAATTTTGCACTGAAACAAATAAATAACCATTAATGAGGTAGGTATTACAATTGATACATTTAACCCACCTAGTTTTTTGTCTAGCACAGATGAGAAGACGTAACAAAAGTTTTTTATGAGGTTTAATAACAGGCAAGAGGTTATGATGCCAATCATTTCGAACCTTATGCTTAGCTACTTTATTAAAAGCTCGACCACATTCAATCAATGGTATAATGTCATTGGAACGAAGAGTAACCTAAAGTAGAAAAATATGATAATAATTCATTATACTTCTATACTTGACTCTAGCTTGTCATACTTCAGAAATATTTTTAATCCATTTGGCTTGTAGAGATTCACTATCAGCTTGAGCTGGTGTTTTTAAACAACCGCCAGTAACGTTTCCAGTGAAAATAAATCGAAACCACGCTTTAGACGCAGCTTCAACGGTCAACAATGTATCAAGTTCCATTTCTAATCCTGTTTCTTCTAAGCATTCTCTTTTGACAGCATCCTATTAAGTAGCACATTTTTAATTTTGTTAATGTTCAATTGTCTAATCATATTTTTTATGTGTAACAGACATGTAAATTCTCCCCAGGTTCAACGCGACCCGCTGGTAGGTACCATTGACCAGCACAAGTACTTTTTGCTTCTTGCATCATGAGCACTTCATCCTCGCTGTTGACTAGTACTACTAACACAATATAAGTAACTGTGCTTTTTGTGACTGGTACATAGTCAGACGGCCCAATGGGTGTTACACCCTTAGCCACTAAAAATAAAAAAGTTTGTTTATTTTAATTAACAGTATATTTAAATAACATACTACACAGTACCGTCTTAATGCCCAGGAGCAACTAAAATATTTTCCCCTTTGCTTCTAATAATATTCAGTTTAATACGAATGTATGTATGAGATAGTAATGAATCAAGTGTAAAATTAAATTGTCAAATAATGGTAGCTCATCTTGTACATTCATACAGGATATCACAATCTTTCAAACAATTATTCTAATTATTTTACAGCAATACCTCACCCTTTTAATTGTTTTACAACGTTCGATCGTGTCAACAACAATTATTTTTAATTATAAGCCACTATTAAACCATGTCATTACCGCAAGCTTCGTTTTGATCAGCCAGCGTGAAGTCGCATAACTCATCGTTTTCGTCCAAAGCTTCGCCACGCAACAACTTCATGACCGTTGCTTCTAACATTGCCATCGTGTAAACGTCGATCGATAACCGCAGTGTAAAGCGTTCTCCGGACGAAATACTTTGATTAATTATTATGACCTACGTGTCATGGGGCCGATGCACGGAGTAACTGATTTCATTATTTTCATATCAAAAAGAGAAATCGCGGTACAACGTAGTAGCGCTCGGGGGATGATTTACGCGGTCGTCAAATGGCCTTGGACCGAATACCTATGGTATGCGACAGGTAGGGTCTAGGGGTGCAGTGGGTGCACGAACACCTCTTCGCCTTGGTCTGGCGTTCGATCTATTGTCATCGTAGTTTGCTATTTGCTCACTGCCGGGCACTGCTGCGTCATACGTGTACCATGTACATAGTACTTACCAATATACCATAAATCATGTATTCGTGTTCAGTTTTATTGTGATTTGTGATCGACGTGATCTCCAACGTTAACGGAAGAGTAGGAGGAAAAGAAGTAGAAATTAAGAAGGGGTTTAGATTAGCGCCTCAGTGGTCAGATACTGTAGTATTAGATTTAGATATCACTAGTGCTCAGTGTTCAGTCCTTCAGATGGGTATCTATACGGAATTCAGATCTCCGGATCCCAGAAACGTGATAACAGTAATAAATTCGATTTTTGGTGGATCAAACGCATAGATAATAAATATCAACACAGAATAAAAATATCAAGGATTAATCAAAGAATAGATTGATAGATCTATTCTGTGGATTATTAATGAATAAGTTTTATCCTTGATAAATATTATATATCTTATCTTTAATTTATGCGTTAGAATATTGTAAAATATTGGCATAAGCACTTTTTCTGAAATTCAATAGAAACAAAACTTAAATAATTATAAACGATTATTATTAAAAAATATTATTTATCTTTTACTTAGAGAGTGTTTAATATTATTCATGACTAAATTTACATTTACTTATAGCCGAATGAAGTCACCGTATGAGTGGTGTAACCTTTCCAATTTCCTTTTCTTTCATAATATTATTAATAGGTAATAGCTTTGGACTAAGATATATATATATATATTTATATCTTAGTCCGTGGTAATAACTAAGAATTTCTGCATCTAGGCCACGAATCTAGAATCGGAGCTAGGCATTATTTCGAAGCATAGCCCTATTAACTTTAGTTAATAGGTATATGATTCGTAGTTACAACTGTGCTACAACTTATTCTTCACTGTGGCAACACTGTAACTCTAATAAATTGTATTCAAACAGTCCGTTAAAAATTATGAGATAGAGTGATAGACCATGGTTTATTGCCCATTGGACATAAAATAAATTTTAATACGCAATTATTTTCCCATGTCTTGTGTTTCCATTGAGCATTTTTGACACGGTGGTATTAATACAAATTATATATATTGTTATTTATTATAATAAAAAAATATTTTTCTGTGAGCCAGTTGAATAGTAGCTGATGCTCGTTTATCGTTGTCATAATTAATCTTAAGAACTGTAGTCTGAGAAGTGTAAAACTGTAAATAGAGGTTGCTCGTTGTTCACAAAGCACAGTTGAGATTTTGAGAACATTTTCTGCAAACTATAGAAGTCGCCATTCTCTATTTAATCAGCAGGTAGGTACCTACCAATTTTCCAAGTTGCAAGTACTGGAATATTGATTTTTACAGGATTACCGACGTTAAAAATGTATTCACTTATTCATGACTGAATGTGTTCATTTTAGGTATGTCGAACTTTGTGGAAATTCCGGATCCGCGATCTCCTACCACAGCCTTTGTCAGAACTCCGTTACGAGTAAGTTCACTGCGTCCTACTTTTTTTAAATATTAACCAGTCATATAGTAGTCGCCATATGATCAGATAGCTGCACTTCATTTTGATACTTTTATTTTAAATGTTATACCTATATTATATTTTCACATCAATTGCCGGGTTGCATGAACGATCACTAAACGTTTAACCAATCAATAGTGAACTAATGGTCCCTTAAACAAGATTTAATGACCCATGATAGGTCCATTAAATTTTATTGAACCATTACATTAATAAATTTTTTCATGCAACCCGGCATAGGTATTTAAGAATTGACTCACCTTTTAATCATAATATTACAATCAATAAAACCCGATAAGAAATGTCTAAAATCAAACTACTATGGTACTTATAATATTGATATCAAATAAATAGGTATGCAATTTAAACCTATTTTGTAAAATGTGACAATCTTAGTTTATCATTTGATTATTTTTTTATTAGGTCTTGTAAATATGATCTTAAATACTAATTTGCATTAATACTGTTTATAATTATGAATAAAATAAAATCATTTGTATTTTAAATTTGTATTGCTCCATCATGACCAAGTTGCGACTGCCATAATATAATAAAATGGATTAAATAACGAAGTACCTATGGTTTTGTAACTAATTTTTTTATTTCTATAACAATGAACAGGTAATCAAATTGATTATCGACGAAGAAAATATATCGACAGAGACAAGAATAAACAATGAATTATTTGAAAACACTTTGTCTGAAAATCTGCTGATGTCAACACCAACTGTCAGTAATACTTGTGATACAGATGATTCATTCCATTCAGCAGTTGGTGAAAATGATAAAGAACCTCTGATAAACAGTACAGACTCTAAAGGAGTGAAAGACAGCAGTAAGAAAAATAGGAGAGCACTGGGATGCATTAAAAATCGTCAAATGATTGAAACACCTAAGACGGATATGCGTCGTAAACTTTGGCGTAACATGGAGGATGAACGAGTAAAAAAAGGAATTAATAATGGAGTTGAAAATACACCACCATTACCCTTTATGGACTTAACTGCTTCAGCTCCTCCAAAACTATATAGACACCGCAAGTTTACATGAGGTTATTTTTTATTTTAAATATTTAATTTAATTTTCATCAAAATTTGATTTAAATTCCACATAAAATTTCCAATTTGTCATTTTATTATATCTTTACTTTAACTGATGTAACCCATTCTCACTTTATATACAAATTGAATTTTTTTTCATTAATATTTGTAATATACCAGCACATGTACATTTTTTTATGCCTAAAGTCAATATAATTAATAAGGTCAATATATATTTATTTTTATAAATTATTATTTCATTTAGTAAAAATCAATGAAATATTATGTTTGTGTGTAATATGTTTGGGTTAATATTTTTTAACATGAGTTGAAATCAAGTATGGTGGCATATACAAATTACCACTGCCTCTACTCATACAACACTGCAACAACTTCAGTGTACAAACACTATTAGTATTATCAAGAATAGGAAGTAGACTTGTACAAAAAAATTAAATACTTATCACTTAATAACATATTAAAAAAAATATAGATGATAATATTTTTAAGTATATGACAAGTTTTATTTTTTATTATTATTTGACTTGTAAATTTAAATTTTAAAATTGTTTTGAAACAATATTTAGGTAAATCAATGTCTTAACTTTAAAAATATTATTTTTATATTATCATTTTTGTTATGGGTTATTTAATCCAAAATTACTAAAAACAAAAAAAAAAATGATGCTGCGTAAATGTGTTTTGTTAATCTTGCTTTCATTGGATTTATTCTGGGCTAATTTATGCTGCACAATATGTCAGCAACAGCTGTATAATTAATTTATATTATGTTAGAATTTTAAACCCCAAAATAAAATAAAAAATTAGTTGTCACTTGTCAATAATCTAAATAGTAGTCAATTATATTGATATTTGTAGTTTTAAAATTAGTTAGGTACTACTGAATTTTCAGAAATTTGTTATTTTTCCGATTTCCAACTTCAAAATATAATATATTATCTAAATGTATACTTATTATGACTTTTTTTTTGAGCCCTCATGAGGGATTTATTTAAGACAAGATGGTAGAATAAATTTTTATAAACATGAATATTATACAGGATTGTCAAATAGTATAATTTTTAATAATGTAGGCAAAATATTATATTGGAATAGATATTTCATATGAACATATAAAATATTTAATTTTTGTTGACAATAAATTACGCAAAAATCTATTAACAATTTTAAGCAGTTAAATATAGGTATTATTTAATTTAATTTTACACAGAATAGAATAATAATCGTTCTTATTAGAAGTACAGGAAAATAATCGGATTGAATTCTAAAATGAAATATTCTATAAAATTGATATTTAAGGTTAATCATTAATATTAATTTTCCATGTAGGAAAATGTGTTCTTTACACATAAAGAATATAATAATTATTAAGATGAAGACGGAAGTACTTGTATGTGGAATTTACATGACGGCATTCTAATTATTTCAACTGTTACAATGCTTGAAATGCCAAAATTTTCTAGAGCTCCTCGAATCAGACCACATGTAAACGTAGCATACTATAAAAAAATTATGCAAAAGTAAGTAGGATAAAAATCTTAACAGTATAATGAACGTTCATATATTTTATATTAATTTACTTTTGGTGCAGATTTAAGGTACTGCGTTCCATTTGACAGTTTGCTGAAAAAGCGAAATTCGTTGTCGTGCAATACGTAGACACCTTGATGATTGGTTCGTAAATTATCCACTTGCTTTTTATACACACATGACCAAAAGTCTGTGCATATAAATTTTAAAACTTCTAGCTCTTCTTTGTATCTTGGCAGTTCTTTTGTTATTCTAAGTAGAAAGGAGATGGTTTCACAAAAACATCTGATAGTACTAGAATAAAATTTACCTTTCAATCAGCCGCCAACCACAAGAATAACCCAAGTGTTCTAATATTGATAAATCTTCATCCTATACAAACAATTAGGTTGTGGTAATTCTGACGAAAATATATTTAATTCAGTTCTTATGTAAAACACATTAAATTGTATTATTTTATGCGTTAGGTGTACAATAATTACCTCAGAGGACTTGGACACTAAATATGATACAATTTCTGAGTGTAACATATCGAATAGAACGTCTTCGGCAGACATTTCTCTATAGATACTATAACAAGAACCAAATTTTATATTGTCGTTTTGCAATCTTGCTGTGTTTAGTTTACACTGCACTTCATGTAACTGTACACAATTAATAGGTTGTAGTTATTAACACTGTAAATAAGACTGACGATTAAATGCTTGTTCTATACTTTACAAACCTACAAGTTAGTAATTACTAATTACTAATTAGCATTTAGCAATATCACAACATTGAATATGGGTACTATCACAGAAGTACTGAATTATGTTATTCTGTGATACTGTGTGGTAATATTATCAGATAACAACGGGTTTTTGACTTTTTTGCTTCATCAGTTGGATTTGGATGTGGACCACGATTAAAGATATTTATTTATTTTATTTATTTAATCGTGATGTGGACCCATGAATCATGATTAACTAATGAAGTTAGCTAATCATGCTTGGACCATTATGGGATATTACAATTAAATGTTTTTTTATTTAAATTATTATAATATGGACCAAAAAATAAGATTGAATAATAGAAATGTTTGTTGATAATACCACTGAGGCACAGAAAAAAGGGAACAAAATAATAATTGGTAGCTGGTAGATATTGTGCTTCTATTATTCGGTGCCCTGCGATGTTTGGGGATTTGAATTCAATGATTTAAAATTATTGTACATATTCAGTACCTATACCAAAAACGATTTTAAGGAAGTTCTGTCAGCCTATATTACTATAAGACAATGTTATGATATTATTGCTATTAAGTAGGTGGGTACCTAATATATTTTACTATTAGTAAAACAATAGGTTGAATTAATTGTTGCCGGAAACATTTCATTTGATATTTGTACTGGGTCCAGTGGCGAATGCTGACTCCGATGTATGGACATGCTCAATTATCATAACGTATTATAGTTATATTTAATTTATAATTAATAAATAATACACACATTTGTATGCATTTATAAATAAGACTTTAATTGAGTATGTTATACAATAATTCCAAAATGATTCAGAATCATTTTTCGTACTTCTTGCAGTTTAATTATAATTTCACTAACATTTTTTATACAATATGCTATATCCATAGCTTTAGAGCTGAAGTATATCAAAAAGAACATCAGCGTATGAAAATATTGTTGAAAATATATTTACTAAAAACTTTGATAAAAACTTAAAAAAAAAATTAAAAAACTCTGGGAAATCAAAATTGAACCCCTAGCCCAATCGTCAGAGTTTTCATGTAAGTGCTCGATAAATAATAACAGCATATCGTAATTTTCTTTTATGGTGTTCACGAGTCTTGAAGTAAAATTCTACCTCGTTGGTACTACTGAAGGAAACTTTCTTTTAAGGAAATTCTGGAGAACATTTGTCCGTCTTGAAGATTTAGAAAAAAAAGCTGTTAAACTAGACATTGTTTGGAAAAAAATCCTGCACTCTTTAATATTTGAAGCTGGCTGTTGAAGAGTTAAATTTAACATATAGCTGTAATAATAATGAACAAAAAATGCACAAGGGTATAATTCTTTAACTTTAAAATTTTAACCATTATTTTGCTCAGACATAATAGCGGCGCTATTGTATGTTTGGGCTATAAGCTTTGACTGATATTAAAATTATTTTAACATGTTCAAATAATGCTGTGGCAGATTAATTATTGTTAACATCAGTAAAACGAAGAAATCTTTCTTGAGTATCTCCATTTTTATCTACAAAGAGGAGTATAACAGTAGAAAGTTGAAATTTATTTATTTTTTTATCAGATGTTTCGTCCAAAATATTAGCTTAATCTAGTTCATCTTTTAATCGGCGATTAATGTACCAATGGAAGCAATTGTGTCATTTTGAATCGTAGATGACGTACCTCGAAGTATTGTCGATTCTTTTAAGTGATTGTCTAGAATAGGATCATACTAACGGATTAATTCTAGAAATTCTAAATAATTACCCCTGTAGCAGTGTAGCCCTGTTGATAGATGCACTAGATTCATCATGACCACGAAGAGGTAATTCTTGTTTAACTAAAAACACACAGCATCTATCATACGTTTCAAAATTGCACGATTTTTAAAAACTTTTTCATAATGCATTAAATCACAAGTTTTTTTTATTCGTCAAGTAGGTAATCAATTCGATTTCTTCCAAAAGTGTTTATTTGAAAAAAAATATTTTATATGATGATTAATTGATTTCTCTCATGTCTACATATCGCTGAAGTTAATGTATTTAAATTATCAAAACCAACTTTTCGCCAATCACCATTTTCTGTTGAAAATAATAAACATGGCCAACAGTTAAGTTATTTTAATACACAAGAACCCGTCTAGTATTATCATTTTACATTTATCATAGGTACTGTACTACTGTGAAATATTAAAATGTCGAATATATTCTTTTTTTTTTTTATCTTTTTGAATACTTGTAAGATTAGAAATTACCGGACAAGGCCAGTTTTAATAATTTCACTTTTTTTCAGAAATAGATCTCTTTGGAAAGTCTTAGAAATCAAGTATCTTATAACACATTCAGTTTCTACAATAGCCATAATACTATTTAAAATAATATAGTTATTATAGTACTAAACACTATTAAAAAATAGCACAATACAACAAAACGAAGAAAAATTGTCATATACTCGTACGCGCAAATTGCATGCATAAAGACATAGACGAAGCGCATGAGAAATGAGAATGAGCATGCCCCGGGTGGTTACTACCTTGCGCACACATCCATCGCACGCTTTGCCATTAAATGTTATAATAAAGATAAACACAAATCGATGACATTATTGTTATACATTGTGCTGCTTTTAAAATACGTAGATAATAAAATATTGATTTTAAAATAATTTTTATAATTTTATTAATAAAGTTTTTGTCCCTACTCCCTAAAGCCTAAAGGTGCGTTTACATTAGAGCCGGCGACACTGTACTCGCATCGATAACGTACATACACATCGTAAATTCGTAACATAATATGTTCGTGTTCGTGTTCGCGAGTCGTCTCGTTTGTGTTCTAGTCACTAGAATCTAGTGTGTCAGGATGTTTACACTCGCATTTGCCCAAATATTTTGCGCGCCCTTGATCCAACAGTTTTTCGTTGCTGTTCACTGTAGTATATGTCGTGTAATTATGTCCAATTCACAAGTGTTCGCCATCTGTACTGCTTTTATTTTGAAGCATTCAACATTGAAAAAAGGAAAGCAGAAAACGAAAAGAAAGAAGATGGTGGCAAACAAATGTTTTAAGGGGCCTTAATATAATAATATCTATAGCGGATCTAGTTAATTAATGACCTCAGGTCTCGGGAAATTAGCGGACAATTTAACAATTTTATTCGGATGTCATCAATTGACTTTGAACATCTTATTGGTAATCTCGTCAATTTATCAAAAACAATTGATCGCAAAACTAAAAATTATATTATGATTATATTATTGATATCTTATTATTTAAATAAAAAGGTAAAATAAAATTGATAAATTAATAGCTATACATTATTAATTAAATACATTTAAAAAAAATGTCGAACAAAATTGCTAATAAAATGTCCATAAATTATATTTAGGATCATTTAAAACAGTAAAATTGTACATAGAATATTAAAATATAAAATATAAATATATAAATAATATAAAATATTCTGAAAAAATTTTGAAGAACAAAAAATTTGAAAAGAAAATTTTGTAAAAAAAAAGTAAGAGGTATTTGTTCAATCACCGAAAACATATCAACTACTGTTCTTTGTTTATATTAATTGAAGGCCATTGACTCTATGCTGTATTGCTTTTGGGTTCAAGAGAACGAATATGTGGCAGATATGGTTGCTGGACATTACAAATGTTTTTAAAAATTTGATCTAACGTTAAATTATTGAAAAAAAATTTTAAGGGGATTATGGGCACAAACAGGCAAATGAATTGTAAGAATCAAAATAAAAAAAATTATAAAAAACTATGATAGAATATAAATTTAAAAATAAAAATGGGAAGGACGGCATGGGCGCCCGCAGGCAAATGTGTTTTAAGAATCAAAAAAAAATATGTATGAAAAAATGTGCATTAAAAACAAATATTAAAAACTGCAGTCTACATTATCAGTATTCCTAAACTCATGGTTTCATTTACAATTATTAGATAATGAAATAATGCATATTTGTAAGAAACTAACTTTTTATCAAAATT